CTTTGTAGCCATTGCCTTTCTATTGTAGTAGTTTGTATGAATGTAAACCTATTTGGCTGTTTTATACAGAAAAAGAGTGAATAAACTGCATCTGCCTGACCAGCTGATTCTTTTAAGTTTCAGCTGTGATTTTATACGTAGGAATGTTATTGTCTCAATGATAAATGTAAATTTGAACCAAATATACTTCTCACTTCATCTAATGCTGCCAAGCAGGTGAAGAATAAAGACCTGAAAATGTTCAAAAAATGATATTTAGTAATGGATATATCAATTTATATATATTTTTGGCCTGAAGTAATGGGATTTGAGGATATCTTCATGAATCATATTTTTGGTGTCATTTCATATGGTTTGAGAAGAAAATAAATGTTTTATGCCATATATAAAAAATTATATTAAAGGTAATTTTAGATTATAAGTGTACAATAATTTTTTATTATAAGAGAGTAGTTTTACAATTGGATCAAAGATATTTTGGTTATTTAATCCGAATTGAGATGATAAATCGAGTTGATATATCATATTGACTTGAGCATATTTCATCAATATCAATCTGATAAGTCACCAATTTTTCAGATATAAATATCTCATACTCTCTTAAATAAGAGATTAATTCTTCTCTTAACTTTCTTATTTTTATCTTTGAACTATTCTCTTTCTCATCTACTTCACTAACTTAGAATGTCGTAATACAAACAACAAAAATAATTTGGGCTTTTGCTTCTAACCAACCTTATAATTTCAGATTCTTATTCTCCAATCAAGCTTATCATCAATAAATTATCTCACTTATAGTTATCAAAAAAAATTTTATCAATGGATTCGTATTTCTTTTTTTTATTATTTTTTTGAGAAAACCATGTGACTTCTCTTCTTATTTGATTAGAATGATGAGAAATTGGACAAACAAAAACAATATGCACAATTGTGAGAGAAGAATGTCTCAAGTGAAAGAAGAAAAGTTGTATTCACGTGCATATCACGTGACTGCTACATTTTATTTCTAATTGACAAAAATACCCCTACCGTTTTATCCAATTGCCGACTAACACGGTAACACCAAAAAATAATGGGCCTTCGGCCCATCGAAACATAAGCTTAACAGTCCACACTGTCTCGCTCTCGGCCTCTCCCCAATGTCCAATTCTCTTTTTCTCACTATCCATCTCTCATATCCACTCACACTCTCGCACATCCGTGCGTTTAATTCACGCGCCACCACTCTCGCTCCCATCAGTTTCTCGACTCCAGCATCTCAATCTACCGGCCGTGGTAAATTTCTCCGGATACCTGCTTCGATAATGCACTCCAACACGAAACTCGCGGCTACTCAACCGGAGCTGAGTCAACTCGACGACTTATCCGATTTCGAGAAACTCCTCTCACCGAGCGGTCACATCTCGATCTGCGGCTTCGGTTCCCTCCTCTCCGGTACGTACAGTTACTTGAGCTTTCAATCTCTTATTGATCATCATCATGATTCATTTGATCATCGTTTATTGATTCATGAGACCAGAGAGGAGCGCAAGAAGTACGTTTCCGAATCTGTTAAACTTCAGAGTAGCAAAATTGAATGGATTCAGGCGCCTCTTCGCTCACATCGCTCCAATTTTCTTTGATCGCTGCATCGCCAAGCCAGAAACCAAGGTTTTCATTATCTATTTGGTTACTGGGAAATTGAAAGGAAAAAAATAATTTCCTACTTTTTTTGAACTTCTATTTGAAGAAAAAAGTCTTTCTCTAGTGTCTCAAGAAGAAAAAAAATTGAGGAAAAAAGGTTTAATTTGATGCAATTGATTTCAGGAGATATCAAGCTTAAGTGTAGAGCCTTGTGAAGGAGAGACCATCATTGTTACCGTTTTTGAGATTCAAAAGTCAGAGGTATTGCCTTTTTTTATATAATTTCAAATTTTTGAACATTTAGTTAAAGATTTCAACTTTTACCTCATATATATATATATATATATAATGTTTGTTGCTCTGTAAATTCAGATTCCAGCTTTCATTGAAAGAGAGCTCGAGTTTCGGTTTCTAGCTGTAAGTTTCTTGATGCTTGATTTCATGTTTGGTTATCCATTCCATTGCTTTGGGTGGTTATCGTGGATTTCATTTGTTTCTTTTACAGGTTTTGCCTGAAACAGTTGATGGAGAGCCCTTTGCCAATCCTGCAGTATGTGAAACTTGATTAATTTACTTTCTTTCTCATGGCATTATCATCAAAGGGTTGCAATTTTTTTCTTGTTTATATTTTGTTTGGGATATCAATGCAGGTGCTTTGTGCTCGTTACAGTGATGAGGAATTCTTTCAAATTAGATGCAAAGGTAGGTTTTTTCAAGGTTTCTTGAGTTTATTAGTATTATACTCTGTCAGTGACATGTTAATCCTATATTGGGAGATTCTGAAAATCTGCTATGATATATAAGTAGAGGTTTAAATCCAAGTTTTTGAGTTGACCTTTATGGGATAAAACCGTAAGACTTTTTGGGTCAAAATGGACAATATCTCGGAAGAGATTAGATGCGGATCTACACAATGTCATTGTGAGGGAATTAAAGGATGATTTTTGTTAGTTTAGTTCTTGATGTTGCTTCATTTTGCTTGTGACAAAAGGTTATGTCTTTTTACAGGAAGCAGGGACATTTATTTTCAGCATTATGGTCGATACAACATCGATAAGATTTGGCGAGATGATATCTTGCCATGCCGTGTTTATCTCAGACACTGGTATGATCAAATTTTTATATCAATGCACATTTTATAATGTATAAAGCATGTGGCCTTTCACCTCTTGGCTTAGTGACTAAGGGGCTTTGAAAAAGGCATGTGGGTTTGGATTCTAATCCCACCATCTCCCCTTCCCCCTTGTAAGGGCTTTGACCTCCTATGAACCCAAAAAAAAAAAAAAAGCATGTGATGAATAGATAAACACATTGCTATTTGGGAAAAAGGAGTGAGTAGTCAATCTCTTAGCCATCTGAAATCTGACTCTTCATTTCCTGAATTCTTTGTGGTTTGATTCAATGCATGTCTTCAAAAGGTCAGATGAATTATGCACTTCAGTTTTCTGGTGCATGGAATTGCTGTTCTGTTCTTTCGTGATATGCTTTGCAGAACCACTAATGTCTTGCCCTAAGAATTTCAGTAAATGACTAAATGATTTGTTATGCTCTAGTGTATTGGCAGCTAAGAATCTGGGTGAAATTGCCTACAACAACTTTCTGGATCACACTTTCCTTGGAGACCGAACAACCACCATCCGAACATATTTAGCAACAACTGGTTTAGGCATCATGGAAGAGGAGCCTCCGGAATCTTTGAAGTCTCGCTATGGTGGTTGATGATAGACAAATTGGCAGGCTAGCCTTTCAACATTTCTATCTTTAACCATAGTTTGGATCAGACCATTACATGATTATGGTACTATCTTTCAATAATTCAATCCTCTTACAGCTCTGGTTTTTTTGAGCATGGATCCGTTGTATTTATGTTACTTTTTCTCTGTCGCGAATACAAGTGCAGCAACTCGTACAATAAAATAGTTTCGAAAATTTCTAGGAGTTTATGAGCCCAGCCTCGAGGGCGTGGCTTCCAAAAATTGACGGGTAAGTCCCACCTAAGTAGGGCGGAACTCACTCGCCTCGAAAGTGTGTTCGTTGTACAAGGTGTTGGCACGACCCGCCGTCTCTATACGATCATTGACGAGTCACCCTCCACCCCTGACAGGACGGGTTAATCAATGCAGCGGATCTCATCCGGTATAAATTGACGGACATTTATGCTTGGGGTCCAAAGCCTTCGATGTGGGATATCGGTTGACCAAGTTTCGTTTTTAAAATTTAAATTCCATTTTTGCTGTCATCAGCTTTTAGGATGATTTAAAATTTTAATGTAAATTCTTATTGAGACTTTAGAATATATCTTGATTTTAGAATTAAATAGTCTATTTTTACATAATCTTTTAAAATACTTTCATAGATGATGAAATATGAAAATGTGCAATCAATGTAATTCTCGTAATCTTATAAAACTTCAAAGCTACAAGCTTCATCTTTTTCAAGTTCACTGATCAACAATTCCATCATTTTCTTATACATAGGCATATAGTGATCATTAATCATTGTTCTTGATAGCCGGATCTTACTGTACAGTTCTCTAGGTGTTTCATATATGCCAACATGTTCTCCGTTCAACCCGTCATCATCTAGGTCAGCAGCATCGGACGAAGGTATAGAAACAATATGCATAGTTCTGCCTGGGGGATAGAATCGGAGGTTCTCAGAGGCATCTGAGGAAGAGATGGTATTTTTACTTTCTGATGATACATCTGCCAGAACATTCTCCTCTTCTGCAATTTCTTTTGCCGCGGCTGCTTCTTCTGCGCGGGCCTGAAGATCAACTTCGCTCTCCTGCCTCTTAAGTTCCTTCTCCAGTTCATACCACAGCTCGCCACCCGTGATTTCATCCACAGTAGATGTATTAATAACTCTATTCACTGCAATCAGGGGTTCATCTTCATCTGTGTCATCGTGGCCTGAACCACCACTGGAATTGCATTCCACTTTGGTTTGCACTTGATCTATTGTAACCACTTCAGTTACGAGAGCTTCAGAACTTCTTTCGGATATTACTGAAGCTTCAGTCATATCATCCCCCTTAGAATTCAATGAGCAACCCACATTACGACGGCGGGGACCCATACAAGACCATGAAGATAGAGATGAGCGGCTTCTAACAACAGCTTGAGCGACATTCTGTGCACCCTTCATGACAACCTAAAGTTTAAAAAGAAGAATTAGCCAGCCTATCATCCCAAAACGGGAGTACCTCATGAAAACAAAATCCAAATGTGCATCCAAATTCTTAAACTCGTTACTTAAGCATCATTACTAGAAGGGAAGCTCAAACTACAGGGTCAAGACTTAAGCAAGCCCTTACATTCACATGCAATTTTTATGAGAAACTTATATTGAGCATCTCAATAAAACAACAAAGTTGGACAATCTCGTTAACCAGGGGATTCTAATTTTACCTTAGTGCTGCTAGAAACAGGTCGTAGAAGAGCACCAGCACCAGCAACTCTGGCCTTTGCACTAGCTATTGAGGGAAGACGAGAACCCAGAGCAGTAGCTGAACGGTAAACAACATTAAGGACCCTAGTATGTTCAACCTGATCCCGCAAATCATTTAACCACGAAGATGCTGTAACCTGATGATAACAACTTTTAGATAAGGAACCTCATAAGGTAGATTATAACCATTTTAAATAATTATTTCATAGTTGTGTTCCACTGAGGAGAAAATGAAAAGCACCTCGGTGCGAAGGTCGTCAACTGAAGCAGCTGAGAATGTAGGCACCAAATCAGACCCATTGATGATAGTTGTAATGAAGTGCTTGCCTGACTCTGCCAAATCCCATGTCATACATGCAGCTGCAATATAAAAACTCTGAGCATTTTGAGAGGAACAGTCTAACTAATTTCTTATAAGGGATAAGAAAAGTCCCATTAAGCACATGTCATCAGAACCTTTCAGCAAAAGAAAAAGCTTGAAGCATAATTTTAACCACAAACAAAATACAGCCTTCCACTTCTATCTCCATTCTTTATCTCTTACAGCACTATCCAATTATCATTAATAAGTCAAATTATGGGGAAAAAGTGTAAGCCAAATCAGGCAATTTGTTTCTAATAGAATAGTTTATTTTAAAAATCGTAAAATGCATCAACAAGCACGTTGACACTAGCTTAACTATGAAACAGTAATATGCAGAAGCATTTACCTGGGGCAAATGTAAAACAAGTGTTAGAGGCAAACTCTTTCTGTTCCCGAAGAATGTACGTTAATAATGCTGCTGTGCCACCTCCAAGCGAATGCCCAACAATCTGACAATGAAAGGAAACATTAGATAACAGTTTATAAATATAGGCCGGCAATTTCTGTCCAATCATTATATCACAAAAGTATATAATTTCAACAGCAATATTATTGAAAAAAAAAAAAGAAACTGACTAAGAAATCTACAATTAAGTTCAAGAAAGCCAGACACCAAGGAACAAAACCAGCAGTAACTAGGAATTAGCAAAACCTTGATGATTAAGTTGAGAAGATAAATCATACTTACAGGAATTATAATAACACTAAAAAAATGCAAAAGATGGTTTAGGTTGATCCATCAGAAAAATCTGCATCTAAGTAGCTTTGGAAAGAGAGGTTTGTAATACATCACAAAGGAAGCACACCAATTTTGGCAGGTTTACTATATGTAGTAAGAAAACAAAAGAGTTAGCAATTACCTTAACTTTATAGTCAGGATATTCACCAAGAGCCTTAAGCAGGCAAGGAGCAGTGAGCTTTGCAATCCAACGAGCTGCAGCAACCATTCCGCAGTGTGCATATCCTAAAACAAGGTTGCTAATCCCACCATCATGTAAAACTGAGTGGTGGAAAGGCACTACTGCACCAGTTGCTGCTGTTAGTGTATCTTTAATGCTGTGAGTACCACGAATCAATAGAAGGAAACACTTTGAATTTTTATCACGTATGATTGTGAAAGCTGGCTTCAAAAGCTGAAATAATTATTCCAAAAAATTGATTAATACCCTCAAAGAAGAGCTAGAACTGCTTTATCATGCACAAGAACAGATGGAAAGAACACACACTATACAACTATCCTCAGTGACACAAAATTTGCTTCGTAAAAGCAACAAGTTCATGCCAAGATGGATGTCTAGTTAACCACCAAGTGGAAAAGGTAAAAGAATCAAGTTGGGCCAACAATCTCTAAAGCTAACTTGAATGTGGTAAAAGCTAACCCATTTCCACCTAGCCTAAGGAATGGGAGTTCCAACTGGTTCTTAACTTCCTTACATTACATAAGTTTGATGAAAATAGGTAATCTTTTACGCCCTTGTCTCATTCTTTCCCCCACAACTAAGCATTGTTAGATATTTTACCTTGAGATTACGCTAAAAACACTCCTCGTATTAGAACTAGCAAGGAAGCTATTCGATGACTTAGACTTCACATAGCCTACATCAACTGCAATGAAAGATGGTCCCTTGGTTCTTAACTTCCCTACTTTACATAAGTTTGACGAAAATTGGTAATCTTTTACGCCTTACTCTCATTCTTTCCCTCACAACTAAGCCTTGTTAGATATTTTACCCGCACTTAATCTAAATTTTCATTCAGTATTCCTATTTGATTTCACAAAAACACTCCTCCTATTCGAGCCAGCAAGAAAGCTATTGGATGACTAAGACTTCACAAATAATCTATATTCATCTAACATTAAGCTTCCCTTTATAAATAAAATGCTTTGAAGAGGGTAACATACCCCAGCTTTGGGTTTGTGAAGAAGAACATATTCCTGTGAGTAACCGGCAGATTCTAAAAACACAGGAAACGGCTTCTTTGAGAACAGCATACATAGAGTTAACAACCTTAACAGATTATTCAACTCTTTTTTAATCTCTTGCCCCTTTAATTCCACGCAATTGTTTCCAGCATATACACTTGCCACTTGCAAATTTCCCTACGAACAAAAAGAAACGTTTTTTGAAAAACAAATTTGACTTTTACCGCAGAGAACTACTAAAAATTTACATAAGCGCGTGAATTTAACGAACCTGCCTCCGCATAAGATAATTAATGCCAAAAGCCAAGTCACCGATGGGCCATTTCCCGAGAGTTTCCGAGTAGGTGAATCTCAGAGTCTCCGATATCGTTGAGATTGCTTCTAGCCAGGTGGCAGGCGCTTGAGCAGGTCTTCTAGCTATTCTCCTCTTTACCGATCTGCTCGATTTCGATAAATCTTCGTCTTCATCTTCTTCTCCGCCTTCACCTCCGTCGCCTTTAGCTGCCGATTTCTTTAACCAGACGTAGTACAGTATCACCGCCGCCCCCGCCGCGGTCGCCATTGTCCCGGCTGCCATCGTCTCAGCCTTCCACCAGATCTCTTAGGAAATAAAGCATCAACACAAAGATTGTGAAATCTACAATCAATGGCCGCTGATTCCTCAGCCACAAAATTTTTAAAAACAAAAGAGTTTTATTTATAATCTGAAAAGAAAAAAAAAACATTTTTCCCTTTAAGTTGTTGGAAGTTGCAGAGGAAAGAGAAAGAGAAGCGAATAAGGAAAGGTATAATTCGAATGACTAAAAAGGACAGACCACCTTACAAAATGACCAGAAAGAAAGCTGTTTCTCCGCGGAATCAGGGAGGGTACTTTTGTCAGTTTGTAACATACACGTTGATGCGAAGTAGATAGGAATTGGGAAGGCGCGCACGTTAGGCATCCGTTGGGCAACCGAATTAATACTTAAATAAAATTATTTAATTATTAATAATAAAATAAAATAAAATGGAAATTATTAAAGCGATTCGTTTCGGTTTGAGATGGGGGCCCACAAATTGGCTGGATCCAACAGAGGATTTTTACAATTGAGTGGCCCAATGGGGTCCATTACTAAGAATCGTGGAGCTAATGAAACTGCAAAAAAAAAAATCCCCAAATCTGTAAGGTCGTGGGCACCGAATTTTGGAGGTCCATTTCAAGTTTTTATTTATTTAAAAAATTATAATTATTATTAAATAATAATTTTATTGTTGGTTATAGTAATATTTTATTGGCTAATCGAGATGACATTGAAACCACTAGTGGAAACATAAGAGTGTTCAATTGTTCAACAGTTGCTTTCTTTTTAAAAAAAATATTTATAATTGATTCCATGATAATAACGTAGTAGAAGATATGTTAAAAAATAAATATAATGTTTTATATTTTATTTAAGATTATTATAATTTAAACTATAATTATGGTAACTAAAAATATAATTGTTTATAAATTAAT